CACTTTGTTCTGTACACTGGAGCACAGCTCCAAGAGCCCTACAGAGAACTGACTTCCAAATTTTGACTCGTATAGCGTTGTAAGGCCAGTTGAAAAAACTGATCTCATTTACTTTATATAAAATTAAATGAGGGATCTGATACATCTGGCCAGTGGATCGATTGCAATTCTTTGTGTAGCCTTAATTCTTTACAAATGTGAAAATGTTTTCTTCGGAATTGACTCAGAAATTAATGACCTTGCCAAGCTGGAAAGCCCCGGAATATTTGGTTCAACTGGTCTCCTTGGCAACCAATTTAGATGTCACATTCGCCTGGTTCCTTAGAGAGATAACCAGGATAAAAATACAGTCTTCAGATTATATGCTTTGGGGTAAGTCCGTGAGGCATCTCAGGCAATACTGAAAGAAGATTGTGTCCAAAAGGTCATCACCCTTTAAGACCAGCTTCCAGATGCAATGTTTTAAATCATCCTTGGCTTCTAAACCAGAATCACATTCCACAAGACTTTTATAAAAAAAACATTCTCTGTTTCCGAATAACAGATTTTATGACTTTCCTGAACCACAAGGAACTGTTGTTTATTTCCATGCTTCCCACCCACATGGGTTTGCATTAGTGTTGTTGTTGTTTTTAAGGATAGTTTTGATGGCCTCTCAATGACATTCTCTGTACAAATAGTGAAAAGGGAGTTAATAGCATTCCTTGATGATCACTAAAAATGCTAAAATGATAGCTCTGCTTATTCCAGATACCTAATCAGAGATAGAAACTGCTGCAATTTGGCGTGGAAAACAGCTTTAGTTAGAACCTCACCTTTTATTTAAGAAACAACAGTTCCAAGAGTAATAGTAAAACTAATAGCCCTGCTCAAGTAATTTGTGTCCAATTGTAATGCCTGTGGCTACTCCTCCTCTTTCCTTCCCTCTGCTTGAATCAGCTTTTCCTTTCCTCATGATATCTCATTACAGGTAGTCCTCAACTTACAGCCGTTCATTTAGTGATGGTTCAAGTTACAACAGCATCAAGAAAAGTGACTTTTTTCACACTTAATATCATTGCAGCCTCCCCGTGGTGATGTGATCAAAATTCAGAGGCTTGGCAACTGATTCATATTTATGATGGTTGCCGTGTCCCGGGGTCATGTGATCACCTTTTGCGGCCTTCTGACAAGCAAAGTCAGTGGGGAAGTCAGATTCACTTAACAATCGTGTTAGTAGCTTAACAACTGTAGTGATTTACTTAACAACTATGGCAAGACAGGTTGTAAAATGGGGCAAAACTCACTTAACAACTGTATTGGTTAGCAACATAAATTTTGGGCTCAGTTATAGTCGTAAATCTATCTGTACATATTTAGGAAGTAAATCTTATTTGTCTGTAAGATCCAGATCCAGCACAGACCTCCTTACACCTTTCTTTCTCCTGAGAGAGAGAGAGAGAGAGAGAGAATGTTCTGAGAGGAAAGGTCTTTTGCTACTATGAGAGACGAATGTTCTTGCCCATTTATGGATAATGGTAAACAATCAGCCAACAATCTACAAAAGATTTGAAAATAATTGTTTTTAAAGATGCCCAAAGATACTTTCTCCTCAATGCTATATTAAAAACTGGAATTTTTGCCCTCAGATTAGAAGCACCAAGACTTTTTTCTGTTTCGACAGGAGAAGTAAATATAATACCTTCCTTTTTATCACCACCTGCTATCATCTACCATGGGGACCTTGAAAAGTAAATAAAATTTATTTTATGGTACAATTAAATGCTACCGACTCTGAACTTAAGTGCAAGCACGATAGTTCAAGTTGCTGGACTTGAACTCCACTTATTTCTTTTCTTTCTTCCTTAACATGGGTTATTATAGTGTTTTATTTCCCATGCTTTGTAGAGTATAAACACAATAAAGCAAAAGTCTCCTTCTGGTTGAGCTGAACTTTATTCCAGGAGGCTTTCTGAGCATTTCAGGCTATCTTACAGTTCTAATATTTTTCTGGAGAAATCCCATCTAGATACTTATGAGACCTAAGTCTGCTTAGCTTCCAAACCTAGAGAAGGTCAGCCAGCTACTGTAGTTCCTAAGGCCTGGTAATATATTTTGAAGTAAAACTATTTTACTTCAAATAATTATATGTTACATCTCCTGATAGGTGAATATTTTTTTTACCATTACTTTCTATAGCTAAAAAAAAAGAAAGAGCCTAGCCCAAGTAGCATTGTGTTCTTTTCTATTCATATAAGATCAAGATGTTTAATTATCTGACGCAGAAGATGGTTTGCCTGATTGACAGTCTGAGTAATACTATCACTGCTGATATTAACTGAAGTCAAGCAAATGAAAAATTTGCAAATGGCTTTAAGTGCCAGAACATTTAATTCAAAACATTTAATAAGTGCTCCTTTCCAACACCCTGTTCAAACCACAGCTTCTAGGCAACCACAGTAAATTTATAATATTTACAATTTCTAGCTCCCTCTACCAGAAAACCAACCTATAGTTCGTTATATTAGAGGAAAGTCCTCTATATCTCCAGCCTCTCCAGAGCTTTGGTAGAAGCCTATAATCTCACTATTCTCATCACCATCGTTACAATATGGATCAATTAATCCAATTCTGTTCTAGATGAATAATAGTTCTTTCACAGAAGGATTGAATCACGACACTTAAGCTCCCATTGAATTCTGGTTTTGCTTTTCATGTCTAGGACAAACATATCCATACATATCCTTATTGTGAGACTATTCTTTTCCAAACCTCTCATCTAGACTAATAGGCACTTGAATTTTGTCATTTGCAAAGATCCTTCCATTCTAGGGAATCTATCAGAAATGCTTAAAAAAAATAATCTTGTCTGCTTTTGACGTTCACAGTTTTTCCACTTGTCTACTTACTATATCCGTACTTGTATTTTACTCTGCATTTTTTCCTCTGACCATTTTTATTTATTTTTAAGGGGGAAAAATTGCTTTTGACTTTTTATTTTTCAGAAGGAAGAAGGAGGAGGAGGAAAAAGTGTTGGTAAAACTATTATAGGTCAGATGTGACATGTCCTGATGGAGAGGTATGTAATTAAAAGCACCAGTCTCCACAATAGCACCCTTCCATCAATCAAATCAGCTCAAAAACACAACTGAAAAAAAAAAAAAAATTCCGAAGCATCCTAAAAATGAATGTGGAGAAAACAAAGCTCCCTTTTCAAAGGAGAAGAAATACTTTGGAAAACTGAAAAGCAAGACTTCAGTACTATGTTCACCTACATCTAATCGCGCCTACTATTTGAGACAAAAGAAATAGTATGTAACTTGCATAGTTAAAAATATATATCAGAGCTGATTGCAGAAGTTAACAGTTTCTGTTACTCAGTCCTCACCCTGGGATCTATTTTTCTTCTGTCCCTGCCTCTTTATCTTATGTAAGCATGTATAATCCTATATTACAAGGACTCGGCCTCCATGTGAGGGTCAAACATCTGACTCTGGTTGTTGCCAAAGAGGGAGATTTGGCTGAACACATGCCAGGATGAAGCAAGGCGGAGCGGGAGGGGGAAGCAGAGACATATCTTGCAGCATAAAAGCAAAGGGCATTCCCCTGCCCCTCCCCCACCAACAACAGAGCAAAAATGAAGAAAGTTGAGCTAAACATTGAATGAAAAATGGATAGAGTGCAATTAACAAGCATCTAACTTAACACAGTGAAGATAGGCAAATCTTAAGCATATTTGGATTGGAATACTGTGTATTCAAAGGGATTGTGCTGCATAGTCCTAGAGATGATTTTTAAATAACCTGTCCTATAGAAACACTTAGAAGAGCCAACATTGTTTTAGCCTGCTTCATTGAGTAATGGGCTACCTCAATCATCAGACTCATATGTAGAGACTAAGCTAATAGGACAACAATATACTATCATTTTTCCTTGGCTGCATAAGAAACACATATGGGAGATGCAGGCCAGCAAGCAGAGATTCTTGAATGAAGTGTTGAAATATTACTGAGAAAGGTTTTTTTAAAACAGTGATGAAAATACCAATGGAAAAATGGGGAACTCGGTTGTAGTGGATATTGATTTTCAGTAGTGGATTTTTCTGCTTCATCAGGAAGCTGGATTACATGACCTAAGATTCTTTCCAACTCCATGGGTGCTAATGTGACAATAAAACCTTACAGTGTGACCCAGATTGACAAAAGTCTTTTAAAGGCAGGGGTATAGGAAGGCCATAGGTCATCTTCAAGTGCAAATTAGATGTATGAAACATAGCATCTGGTTAGAAATGGATATGTAATATATTATTCTCTTTCTTTAACAGATTATTTCCAATTCATATGATTGCACATACTGAGATGTGGCTATAGCTTAGAAACAAGCTTTTTAGCTTGTATTATGTGTATAGGAAGATGTAGGTTGAGCCCACAGCATTCAAAGAAATTGAAAAATCTAGGATAAGAAAGAATCTCAGGTAATTATTTGTCCACCAGTTTCTCATGGTACTCTTTGGGCTGATTGGCTGAAATAACTTAGAATTGTTGCGGTTGTGCAAATATATTAAGCACATTTTCTTGTGTTATTTTCATTGGTTCTTTTACAATTATTTTGATAATTACATTACATAATTACATTACATACAGTACAACTATTTATGAAAAAATACACACATACACAATCTCAAGTAGAGATATTTAAAAGTTCTACTATCTGAAAATATAAAGAAAATTCTTACTGAACAAATAAAATACTTTCTTTTAGGTCTGGCAATCTGGAGTTGTCACCCTGATTTAATCTAATGCCCATGAGAAAGCATGGATGCAATCACATCATTTTCATATATTTGCCAACAAGTGATACTGATATGAAGGCACTGCTAAAGGTGACATACAGTATATGTTATCATACTACTACTGCTACTACTACTACTATTACTACTACTACTACTGTCATGTCAGGAGCACTGAAACGCTTCTGGATTGAAAGGATTATCTAGTAACATCATCATTGCTGAGAGACGCCCAGCTGGCAGCTCTTTTCATGTCCTCATTAAGCTGCCCACCAAAGTGGTACCCATCTATCTACTCACAGTCACCTGCTTTTGAACTTCTGGGTCAGCAAGAGTTGGAGTGAGTGATGGGAGTTCATCCCATCCCATGGTAGCAACTGGATAGCAACTTGAGCCTCTCAATCATCAGCCTAGTGTCCTAACCACTTGAGCCACTGCATTCCTCTCCTATCATGCTTAGTAGTATTTATAACCTTATTATCACAGTTCCTCTCAATTTTGCATTGGATTGCAGACTGTATCTAGAACATCTATTCTATACACCACATTGATAAACTGGAGGGTGCCCAAGAGACAGCCATCAAGGTGATAAAGGTCTGGAAAAAGTGTGTATGAGGAATGGTTGGAGATAATGGATCTGTTTAGCCTAGGCTGACATATAGAAGATGGAGCAGAACTGAACAACTGAGGACAAAATGAGGCTTAAATTGCATAGATTTTGGCTGGACATCAGGGAAAAAATCATCTTAATGGTAAGTGTTGTTCAACAGTAGAAAGAACTGCCTTACGAGATGGTGGCCTCTTCCTTGGTGAAGGTTTGTAATAGCAATGGATGTTCATTTGTCAGAGATGCTGTAATAGTGGATTTCTGCTCTGGACAAGAGGTTGGACTAGATATCTCCAAGATCTCTTTCAACCCTTACATCCTACACACATTTTACAGGATGGGAATCTAAAGTTTAGAACAACTGGCAAATAAGTAGATGATACTTAATCTAATTTTGTATAGGCAAACTTTGTTCCTAGAGAAAATAGACATTCATGAGGCTTAAAAGTATTCTTTGGCATGCTAGACTTAAATAGTTCTTTAATGCTTTCATTCCACATTAGCTCTAATTTGGTTTCTCCTCTCGTCTTTCTGCTGATTTGCTACCATCTTCTTCCTTTGCTTTCAACTATGTGTGAAATGATCTTGATATCAAATATCCAAAAATACCATTTCTGAAGGATCAAAATTTCTTTACTGTGCTAAACCCCAAGCATTGACTTTCTTACTTTATCATATTTAAGGATTATGTGAGTGAATGTGTGTGTGTCCTTGTCTTGTCACCAAATAGTGTAGCAATACTGCCATAGATCTTCCTCTCTTTACCTAGGACCAAATACAACATTGAATGCTTAATTTGTATGGGTGGCCGAAGCACTCATTATATTTCTTGCTTTCCAACTATGGTATCTCCATTATCTCTACCATATTATTTCACAGCAGAAATAACAGTGGATGTGCAATGCTGTGGATCTGAGGACTAAAAGGTGCCTTGGTGTGTCTACTTGTGTGAGTGTGTATGTGAGATTGAATATAGCAATTTGTTAAATAAACCTCTGCTTTTTCCCAGATGACAATTTTGTTTTATTCTCGTGTTGTTTTATTTTTATTTTAAAAGAAGTAGGTAAAGCCTAGAGGAATCTATTTTGTGAAAAATTTAACACATTTAATAAAGGGATGAATAATACAATTAAAAGTTTTGCATTAAAACTGGTTCTATGAGCCAAAGAGAACTGAGTTATTAGCATCATAATAGTGACAGGATTCTAAAGTTGTGTCATTTCAGACTGCAAGTGAGGATTGTACCTTTAAAATTCTTCTTTGCTAAAAAAAAAAATCCTTTTCAGGAAAAAAACTTAAAACTGGAGAAATAGGGCACTGTTTTCTCCGGCTACTCTAGTTTTTATGTTAAGAAGTATTTTTATGAGGGAAAGATTGAAGGTTTTCAGGGCATTGTACAGTTCGCTTTAAAAACTCAACATTCTAACACAGAGATGCCCAACCTTTTGGGCACCAGGGACCAGTTACATGGAGAGAGGTTTTTCCATGGACTGGAAGGAGTATGGTTTTGTGGGCTGCCTGCACCTCGCAGATGGGGCTTTGCTTGTTTGTGTGGACTGGTTGCTGGCATGCTGCAGCCCGGTACCCATCCACGGACCGGGAGTTGGGGACCCTGTTCTAACATACAGTAATTTTATCTCCTGCATAAAAACTACTGTTATTGCATATGATACCAAAGAAAAAAATAAAAAATATGGATCATTACTATTTTATAGATAAAGGGCTGAATTAAACAATGATTGATTTAGTCACAATAATCCAGGAAATTCCTGTCTGAGAATTTCAATATAATTTTCCAAGTCATTTCTTAAAGCTCTCAGCCAATGCAATCCTGTAAATGCTTACATAGGAGCAAATTCTGTCTAACTCAGCAGGAGCTATTTATTTCTGAATAGATGTGGTGCATAGTATTAGGTCACAAAACTATGATCCCTTTTTTCACTTACCTTGAAAGATTCATTTATAATCACTGGGACTTATTTCCAAATAAAAACTGTTATTAATCAGTCCATTAAATTCATTGCACTGAAAAGAAAGATTCTGATCAGGCTTCAGACCAACCTAGAGCTGCTGCATTTTAAATTGTACTGCCAGCTTCACAACAGAATTAATGTTATTTATAAAGACAAACTGCAAAGTAAAGAGATAGGTTATTGCTCTCTCTCTTCCCCCTGTTCATTTATTTGCTGAGCAAGGAGTTTTGGCAGAAATTATGTAATACGAATCAGCTATTAATTTCTTTTCCAGCAAAAAGTTTTCTGAATGGTTATTGTGTCACTATTTTATTCAAAGGTGTAAGATTTGTTGGTGCTGCCAGTCAAAGAGGCTTAATTCTTTCATCACGTTTTAATTTTCAGGAACAGTTTAGTTCATGATTGCTGCTTATCTATGACTAGAAATATAAAACCGGGAGAGTTCAAGCAGATATGGGCTGATACAGACCACCTTTGAAATCAAGTTGACCCAGAAGATTAAGCACAAAAAGAAGTGTATACTATATTATTCTGGCTATCAGTTTGCAAAGTCATTTGCATTTCCATATTTGATCAAATAAATTGTCTTCTGGATCAGTACAAGGAAAGCTACACATTTATGGCTTCTCCACTGCTGAGACTTGCGTAGGTTCAGGTTTAGGCCCAATTAGCTAAAGGGACAAAACCTCTTTCAAGCAAGTCTACAATTCCCTAGAAATCGGCCTTTTGTCATGTTGCATTATGTTAGTGCTCAAGCACAAGTTAAGAGAATAACCATGTCTGAATCCAGGTAGTATATAAAAAAAAAAAAATACAGGGCTTAGTGTGATATGTGACACGTCACGTGGAAGCTGTGCCCACCCCATTGCCGGCAATGGCAAAACTGTCCTAATACATCACGCGATGTCACGTGACATCACGAGTTTGACATGTCTGGTCTAGTCTCTTCTTAAAAATCTTCAGTGATGGAGCGCCCACAATTTCTGGAGGCAAGCTGTTCCACTGGTTAATTGACCTCACTGTCAAGAGTTTGCATTCAAAAGCATCCATAAATTTACCACTTTCTTCATCATGCCAAAAGCAACATTATGACCTCACACTGAAAGCCCCAACCTTTAGGGCAGTGATGGTGAAACTTTTGGGCTCCACATGTCAACAATTTGGAAAATTGACTCTGTTGGTGGACTCTTAGCTTTGTCTGTTCCCCTGAATTAAGTAGTGTTCTTGGAGCAGGATAGTTCCAGGTTGGAATACTGTTCCATCATGTCCCGATTTCATGATGGAAGAGTATTCTAACCTGGAACTATCCTGCTCTAAGAACACTACTTAATTTGGGAGAACAGACGAAGCTAAGAGCTGCTTCTTTTCATCAAGGGTGCTATCATGATTCTAGTGGCAGCTGCTTCCCTCTTCATTTTGTTCAGGTGAGAACCTTTTAAAAAACCCTTTCAGCTTTCCAGGTTTAATTGTTTTAAACTGCGGCTTTTCACTGCTGTTTTATTGCCTGTTTTTATGTTACTAGTCTGTTTTTATGGTAGCTGATCTTGTTCATTGCCCCAGGAACTAATTACTTGAATGGCAGTATTTAAATATGCCACATAAAGGCATCTCTTCTTAAGAAAGGAAATGCAGCCTTGGAGAGAGAAGTCTAAACTCAGTTCTACAATTGTAGTTTCTTTCTCTCTCCCCCAGCTCTGATCTTTTCAGTTCTTTGGGATGGCTAAATATATTTTTTATAGTGCAACTTTACAAATGTTATAAAATAGAAAGATAAAGGATTGTTTTCTGTTTCAAAAATACCTCAGATTTTCAGAAAGCAAACTGAGGGAGGAGAACCAAAACAAACTGCAGCACAGCAGTATTAAATACTAATCTGTTCTGAAAAAGGGAACGTTTTGACCTTTAGCTGGCAGTCATTGACATATGTGAAGTTGGGTTTTTTTTGTTTTTGTTTTCCTAAACAGATAAGAAAGTGATGACTCTTTTGCCATGAGATGAGGAACTCAAAGTGCTGTTGAGTTTACAAGGCCCCAGGGCCATTCTCTAGCCCTAATTACCCCAAATGGATCATGCTGTGAAAAGAGAGAATCAAAATCACACACTTGGAAAATGGTAGGCCTTGAAAAAAAATGGAGCAATCAAGTATAAAACCTGATTTCCCAAGTGGGTGTTATAATAAATTTAAAAACTAACTCATTAATTGGTCTTAGATTGACATGGGAAACTGATTTCTACAAAGTCATAAATGAAACAGGACAGAATAAAACAAGAGGTTGGAAATGAAGTTCTCCTTCCTCAGCTAAAATTAAGGACAATTTGTTAGTTTTCCTCCCTTGACCCCTCCAAGTTAGTACATATGAAGACAAACAACCCCTTTAATTGGAATAGGTTAAGGTAAATTTATTTCAACTTATAGTTGACGTCTCTAAATTTGGGGTTTAATATCTAACAATTAGTTGCTTTCATGCTAACTGCTGCTGGAATGTTTCTAGACATGCATTGTAAAAAAATAAAATTACAACCTTCAGTACTTGGTATTGACATGTGTGTATATAGAGCCATGGCAGAAAAACTAAATTTTAGGACTCGATTATGATAAGGAAGAGCTAATATACTTACTTTTTTTAGTCAGAACAATTTTTATGTTGGCAATTTTTTTAAAAAAAATCAATTGAGCTCTCTTTTTAATAGCATGGTTAAAAGAGCCATATATGAATTAAAATATTTCAGTAGTGTCTTTTCTGTGACATTTTTATACTTCAAGTTTGGATTTAGTATGTAAAATGTTAAAGTTTAATAAAAGTTTGTATTTAAAAAAGAGCAAGCAAGACAATCCTTTCTAATTTGAAGAAAGGAAGGGAAGGAAGGAAGAATGGAAGGGAAGGAAGGAAGGAAGGAAGGAAGGAAGGAAGGAAGGAAGGAAGGAAGGAAGGAAGGAAATCATAGTGCAAATATAGAAATTGTTAGTTTGTTTGATAACCTAAGTTTACTGATTATACAGAATAAAATATTTTTAGTTAGAATATTAATATCTTATTCCAAGTTTACTTTTAGGGAAATTCTACAGTTGACTATTAGTCCATTCAGTTTCCCACTGTCTATATTGATTGATTGACAGGGGTTCTGTAGCACAGAGGTGTCAATACTACCCAACTCACATTGTTGGTAATAT